TTTGGCTTAGTATGTACATAAACTTTTATGTTTCATTTTTATGGTTAGACTCAGATCTATTATATACGTATATAATAAATAACTTGATGATATTTTTTTGTTATGTTTGCAATTGATAAATGGAAAAGAAGTTATTGTTTAAATTTGGTTAGTGATATAAGTTATATGTTTTGCATTTATGATTCAAAATGTAAAAATATTGGTCGATAGAAATGATGTATTGATGGATTTTTCCGTTTAACTGACTTGCTTCATTCATATTTAAACAAATATATATTGAAACCAAAAGTGTATTCATGATTTAAGCAAAATCTTTTTATTAAAAATTGTAAGAAAAACACAATTTAAAATCATTTAATCAAAACTAAAAACTTCGACGGGCCAAATGGGCCAGCCAGCGTCCAAATGGACCAATCTATAACGAACCAAATTTGTTTTCAATCCATACGCGTTGGTCTGTCACGGGTTATGTGTCCAAACCCGCCCCGTTTCGGTTTTACTTTGGCCTAACTCGCGAGTCGTAACCCATGTTGACATCTCTAATTTTGCCAAATAAATGATATATTTGGCAATTCTCCAAATTGTTAGGTCCAAAAAGGAAGAAGTATCGAAATGGATAGTGTTGATTTCTTACTTTATTTATTTGTTTTAACTTTGCTAACAAATAGAGAGGTGAAGAACCTCTCTTTTTTTTCTCTTTTCTCTCTCTAAACTCTCTCTAAACTCAAAGAAGCTTTTGCCGGTGGTTGGAGCTCCGGCGGCTCCGTTAGCGCCGGAGCGGTGGCTCTGTTGTAGTTCGTTGTTTTTATTTTCTCTTGTTGTCGAGTTTGTTTGTCTTTAGAGGATTTCAGATCTGGTTTTGTTTAGATCTAGTTTTCTAGATCTGAAATTTAAGATCGGGTTTTGTCTTCCTCTTTTAGATGGCTTATGTTTTTCCTTGCTTTGATAGCTTTGTAAAACGTTGAGATAGTTGTAGTATTGTCGGTTCTTAACAGGTCTCTGGTCCTGGTGGTTCGTGTTAGCCGCTCAAGTGCTTCGTGGTGTTTTGAGGCGTTATCTTGGCACGTAGTTTCCGCTTTAATTCCTTGGGTTTGAGGTTGGTTCATGCTTGTTCAGGTTCTGAGTCGGTGGTGATTTTATTCTGGGTCGGAGTGTTGGGGTAAGTGGAATCGGTAGCACCGAAGACATTGGTCTCGTGAGCCTCTTGATGGTGCGGCATAGCTGTTCTCGCTACGGTTTGCGTACTTGTCTTCAACACTAGTCCTAGGTTTATCATCATTTGGCTCGGTGGTGATTTTTTGGTTCATGATCTCTCGGTCTGGGTCGTTTGATTTAGATGGAGTGTTGCTTGCCTTGAATTATCGGAATGGTTTGTCAACTTCTTCCCTTGTCGCGTCTTTTAAGCTTCTTCGCTGCATTCCTCTACGTTTTTCCAGTTGATGGTTTTTGGATCTTTAGGCTTGGCGTTTGTCTCTCCACAGTACTCACCAAATAAGTTGTCGGGCTCTAGTTTTGATATCTTGATGTGGTAGAGATTGTCCCTTGCGGTGGTATTGTTGGAGTCTCTTTTCTTTGGGTATCTTCTCAAGATATTAAATCAGTTTGCGTTTTACTCGTCATTTTTTCAGAGAGCCTGGGAGTCCGGTGGGATGGGGTTTGGCTCATTTGGTTCAGATTGCCATTACGGCAATAGCTTGGCCTATGTCTTTCATGGCCTTTTAAGTGTAGTTTTGATTGTGTAATTTGCTTGGTATGATCTTCTGGCTCTAGCGGGACTCTTTGTCCTCGCTGGCTTAGTCCGCGGAAAGGATTAATCCTTTACCGTCTTTGTATTAGACAAGGTTGTGTAACACAATGAATGAATCAAAAATTCCAGATGACAAAAAAAAAAGAGAGGTGAAGAAATGAGAGAGGACGAGGGGTTTCGGCTTATTTCTACTCGCACTCTGATCAAGTGCGAAAATTTTTACCCACTTTGTCAAAGAGTGCGTAACACTACCCAAACTCTTTATAATTTATATTTTCGTATCCAAACTAATTAAATTAGGCGTATTTATTCCTCAGATATTACGGTGTTAAATTTTCTGTTAATGGTGCTGACTTGGCATCTTATTCACGTTTTTTTTNAAGATATGAAACGACGTCNTTTCATGTTTTGTTTAGAAAAAAAAAATTAAACATAAAAATCTAAATGAGTCAGATTTGTATTATTTGATTTTTATATTTTTAGAAAACATACTTTTTTTTTACCAAACGATGGGCGTTTTGGTTAAAAAAATCTTTAAAAAAACAAGCAACACATCATCTTCCTGTCACGATTCCTTCTTCTTCTCCTTCTCTGCAACTACATCTACATCGATTATTTTATTTGTCAATTTTGGTTTCGATTAAATAGAGAGAATTCTTCTATTGATCAAGTTTAGTTTCGATTAAATAAAAAGAAAATCATATTCGATGTAAAGTTCTAACAATCAAATTAAAGAAATTGATTGAATATCATATTACAAAAGAAACATATTCTATAAATCGATGTTTGAGAAACATACAAGACAAGGCTAATTGCAGTATACAACTTCAATTACAACAAAATCATAAGAAAAAGCTTTGATTAGAAATCAAAATTGTCATCATTGTTTATCATGTACTCACAAAATAAAAAGGGATTCGTCCATTTATGTTCTTTGCCAACGATTTCTTCTTGTTTGCCATTATCTTTGACCTCAATTTATCTAACCCACCATCCAAAACCCATGAAATCATACCTATCTCTAGATATCGAATCACAGGCTTCGAAGCTCGCATTGTTTAACGGCGTCAAGAGCGGCATCTGAGAGAGATGAGCGTACGCATAAGGAGGTTAAATGAAAGTGAAGAAGATGAAATTGAGAGTGCATAGAGTTTTGAAGAAGACAATAAAGAAGAAATGATTAATTTGAAAGAGAAGTGAGAAGCGGATAGAGGATGAAACGAGAAAAGCTTCTCGGCGGCGGGGATCAGACGGTTAGGTACTGCTCCTGGTTTGACCAGAAGCGGATTGATTCTCTGAAACTCTCGAACTCAAGATCTGACTTATTTAGATTTTTATGTTTTTTTTAAACAAAACATGAAATGCCGTCGTTTCATATTTTGAAAAAAAAAAACATAAATCTGAGTCATAAACTCTGTTATCGTGAATAAGATGCCTACTCAGTACTATTAATGGAGAATTTAACACCGTAATCTCTGAGGAATAAATACGCCTAGTTTAATTAGTTTGAGTACGAAAATATAAATTATAAAGAGTTTGGGTAGTGTTACGTACTTTTTGACAAAGTGGGTAAAAATTTTTGTACTTGATTAAAGTGCGAGTAGAAATAAGCCGAAACCGCGAGAGGACGAATATGTGTAAAAACGTTGATAGAAAGAAAGTAGGAAAAAGAGTTTTACATTTTTGGTAAAACTTAATTTGGGGATATTATTTGTTATTTTGTTGTTATTGTATAATTATAAGAAGACAAAAAAAAGAGGAAATAAGCCCCAAATAATGGAGGCGAAGTGGAGAGAGAAAGCTCCACTCTCTCACACCCCAAACCAAAGCTG